CCCCCTGCACCTGGACATCAGTCAACAACGGGATGCACTCGTGTGTGTGTGCTTGTACATCTGGTAATGGTACCTTGTGTTGTAAAAGTGTCCGTTGATTGAGAACCTGTGTGAGCGCAGGCGGTGCAGGTCTCTGGCGGTGCGCGTGTTTGACCTTCTCTGCACACGCATGAAGGAAGCATCACTTCTTGTCCTCAGCAGCTGCGGTGAATCCTCCTCCTCCAGACCGCCGACGTCATCACCTACACATAAAAAAAAAAATTCAATCCTCCGTCAGCATTTGCATCAGAACATCACACATTTCTGGAAGGGCAACATCCACCAGTCTCCTTTTTCACTGATATGACCACCAATAGTTGCCTGGTTTTTCATTTATTAACATTTCAATCAAGGTATAATGCATTGCAAAACAATGTGTCAAACTAGAAGCCAAAGCAAGGTCAATTGTGCAGTTTACCTAAATTCATTTTGATATGACATACAGAGTTAATATGCCATAATGCACCCAGTGTGTGATAAATCCTGATATCTGTGAGGGCTCAGCATTTCCATTAGATATTTAAATCCTATTAGACAGTATTAAATCAACACATGGCAGACTGTTTAGTGAAACTCAGACCCATGATCCCGGTCTGATGGGGGGGATTAGACGAAATGACCAAGAAAAGCTGTGGTCTAGAAAAACCCAGCGACATGTGAGCAGTTAAAAAAAGTCCTTCAAAAGGCAAATATCGCTAACCCTGGATATTTATACCGTTGATCTGATATTGCCTCTCAGGGGTAATCTGTGCCCAACATGTGAGCAAACCTCTCCAATGGAAATGCTTGATCAAGCACGTTTGGAGCTCTAATCCTTTGCAGCATGTGTGCGGTGAGTACAGTAATCCGTATTACTCCAGCAGGTGTGTGTGTGTGTGTTGTTGTGGATAAATGACACCACGTGAAGGCTACTTACCGGCTGCTCGGCTTTCACTGCCAACTGAATTATTATTGGCCTCCCCTGAAAACTGCTTTATCAAGGAGGACCTGTCATTTCTGTGGGGAAGACAGAAAAGAAAATGGCAATCTGTTAATTTAATTTAATTTTCCGAGGGTGTGTGTTCAACTTTGGGGACGCCACTTCGAGGGCAGTAGCAGCCTCAGCTTTGTCTTTGTTTCTTTAGACAGCTCCTCTTTGTTGGTCAGTCTTTTCTAATTTTGTCGATCTAATGTCGATTTCCTCTGATTTTTTCTCAGCGTTATAGCAGAGGGGTCAAACTCTGCTACTGTATAAGAGGACCAAGATGACAACAATGACCTATATATATTGTCTTTTGGTCCATGAAGGCCTCTGTATGTGAGTCTCGATCAGGTTATCTTACCGGTTGAGACGAAATCTTTCATTGTCATCGTGCATCTGAAGTCTGATTGGTCGACGCAGACCCCAGTAGATGTTCAGCAACCCTTCAAGGATAAGCTCTCCGTCCTCCTACACACACACACACACACACACACACACACACACAATAACAATCATCAGAACTCATTGTCAGAGGGGATATCCTGCCGGCTGTCTGCCATTGCGGCTCAGTATCAGGTGTACGTGCAGAAGCAGTCGCTCACAGCTTCAGAGTGACCTCTACGTTCTTTGAGAGACCCCGCCAGGTTTGACCCGCCCTTTTTCACACTGGAGCACGGCTGAAGTCATGAAGTCAGCAAGAATGAGAACAAAGAACGACTGCCATGGGTCACGTACACTTTTGATTTCACAAAAATGAAACCCCTAGTCTAGGAGAAAATGTAAATACTGCTGTGCTGAGTACAGAGATGAAACTGTGACACCATGTTTAAGAATATTAGACAGCTGGCTTTAAAATGTGAAAAGTAGGTTGGAGCATGTTGTATGGGATTGCACAGCTGTGGTGAAATATTTCATTTAATACTCATTTTGTTATAATACATGCACAAAAAATGACATGCTGTGCAATCCCATACAACATGCTCCAACCTACTTTTCACATTTTAAAGCCAGCTGTCTAATATTCTTAAACATGGTGTCACAGTTTCATCTCTGTACTCAGCACAGCAGTATTTACATTTTCTCCTAGACTAGGGGTTTCATTTTTGTGAAATCAAAAGTGTACGTGACCCATGGCAGTCGTTCTTTGTTCTCATTCTTGCTGACTTCATGACTTCAGCCGTGCTCCAGTGTGAAAAAGGGCGGGTCAAACCTGGCGGGGTCTCTCAAAGAACGTAGAGGTCACTCTGAAGCTGTGAGCGACTGCTTCTGCACGTACACCTGATACTGAGCCGCAATGGCAGACAGCCGGCAGGATATCCCCTCTGACAATGAGTTCTGATGATTGTTATTGTGTGTGTGTGTGTGTGTGTGTGTGTGTGTGTGTGTAGGAGGACGGAGAGCTTATCCTTGAAGGGTTGCTGAACATCTACTGGGGTCTGCGTCGACCAATCAGACTTCAGATGCACGATGACAATGAAAGATTTCGTCTCAACCGGTAAGATAACCTGATCGAGACTCACATACAGAGGCCTTCATGGACCAAAAGACAATATATATAGGTCATTGTTGTCATCTTGGTCCTCTTATACAGTAGCAGAGTTTGACCCCTCTGCTATAACGCTGAGAAAAAATCAGAGGAAATCGACATTAGATCGACAAAATTAGAAAAGACTGACCAACAAAGAGGAGCTGTCTAAAGAAACAAAGACAAAGCTGAGGCTGCTACTGCCCTCGAAGTGGCGTCCCCAAAGTTGAACACACACCCTCGGAAAATTAAATTAAATTAACAGATTGCCATTTTCTTTTCTGTCTTCCCCACAGAAATGACAGGTCCTCCTTGATAAAGCAGTTTTCAGGGGAGGCCAATAATAATTCAGTTGGCAGTGAAAGCCGAGCAGCCGGTAAGTAGCCTTCACGTGGTGTCATTTATCCACAACAACACACACACACACACCTGCTGGAGTAATACGGATTACTGTACTCACCGCACACATGCTGCAAAGGATTAGAGCTCCAAACGTGCTTGATCAAGCATTTCCATTGGAGAGGTTTGCTCACATGTTGGGCACAGATTACCCCTGAGAGGCAATATCAGATCAACGGTATAAATATCCAGGGTTAGCGATATTTGCCTTTTGAAGGACTTTTTTTAACTGCTCACATGTCGCTGGGTTTTTCTAGACCACAGCTTTTCTTGGTCATTTCGTCTAATCCCCCCCATCAGACCGGGATCATGGGTCTGAGTTTCACTAAACAGTCTGCCATGTGTTGATTTAATACTGTCTAATAGGATTTAAATATCTAATGGAAATGCTGAGCCCTCACAGATATCAGGATTTATCACACACTGGGTGCATTATGGCATATTAACTCTGTATGTCATATCAAAATGAATTTAGGTAAACTGCACAATTGACCTTGCTTTGGCTTCTAGTTTGACACATTGTTTTGCAATGCATTATACCTTGATTGAAATGTTAATAAATGAAAAACCAGGCAACTATTGGTGGTCATATCAGTGAAAAAGGAGACTGGTGGATGTTGCCCTTCCAGAAATGTGTGATGTTCTGATGCAAATGCTGACGGAGGATTGAATTTTTTTTTTTATGTGTAGGTGATGACGTCGGCGGTCTGGAGGAGGAGGATTCACCGCAGCTGCTGAGGACAAGAAGTGATGCTTCCTTCATGCGTGTGCAGAGAAGGTCAAACACGCGCACCGCCAGAGACCTGCACCGCCTGCGCTCACACAGGTTCTCAATCAACGGACACTTTTACAACCACAAGGTACCATTACCAGATGTACAAGCACACACACACGAGTGCATCCCGTTGTTGA